TATACGGACCACCATTCTCTACTCTATTCACTATACTATTTCTCTATTCGGATCATATACGGATTATTATTCGAGCGAGTATTATCGGGCAAGTATTATTAGTGCGAGTGTTATTATAGGAGCTTGACACAGGTATTGTTCAACGGCGTACTATAGTTGTGTCTGTGATTACTAAGTGTCTAATACAACGAGCGTTACGAAAGTGACAATGACTATTCGTTGACATTACAAAAGTGGCAACGAGTATTCGTTGAGTCACAAAATATACAATTTCCCCACCGGCATTTAACACATCCGCAATGATACAATCTACATGCAGAGTCTTTCCATTGTTCAACTTTCAGAAAGCATTAAAACACACTCGCCGCCGAGATAATTCTAAATCCATTTCCTGAATAATAGAAAGCTAGTCCACAACATCCATGTTGATGGTGAAAGAACAATTCAAAAGCGTAGAATAATTCTCCGTCCGTCTCTTATTTTTTTACAATGATATTCACCCTGCACAAAGTCCGAGAGCCACTCGAGGTAGATGTTTACAGATTAAGTGACTCAGCCTATGCGGATATGTGGAATTTGACGGTTGACCCTAGATTGAACAGGTCAAGATTGTAGTGAACTGGGAATCAACCTCTTGGGAGTCGGTTCACAAGTCAGTGGTTCGTGGGAAAGAAGTTGTACAAGTGAATTTATAGCTACATCTACTCATCAAATCTGTAAATCTAGAACTGAACTTAAAATAATAAAAAAAAAAATCTAGAGACAAGAGTGAAGAGCTCATCCGAAAAATTACCTTGAAATTATTTATAGAAAAGACACAGAGAGACAACCTTATGGCGCCGGGAAATTGAGTGAAGCCGAGATGCCAGTTCAGGACCGATAATGTTGCTGATTTTTCTTTGAATTTTATCAAAGAGCTCAAGGTAAATAGCAGGGACGTCTGACCATATGTTTCAGCAATATTCTAAGCATGGACTTGTGCAAATGTCTTTTCATGCCCACTTCCGGTCCCTATTCTTTCATCCATTTGCACAAGTTTGTTAGGGGGTTACTCGCCGTTTCCTTCTGCCCGTCTTACACACAATATGTCCTGTAGGTATCAGATTTTCCAATCCTTAATTCTACATCCGTAGAAGAAATTTCAATTGCCGCTTTTTTATCTTAAGTATAAGTATCCTTTTTGTTATCCATTTTTATTAAAACTTCCTCGTTCCTCAGATATTCGGTCTAACCACCTCTTGAAATTTTTGTCGTCTCAATGCAAATTTAAAATTTTGGATATCTTAGGTTTAGTTAATTAATGGACCATGTGATGAGTGGATAAAAGCGTTGGTTGATTAACTCAAAAGTGACTTGACCAAAGAGTCGTGGTTTCAATACCTGGTTGCAACAGTTAGAGCAACAACTTGGAGAATTAACTAAAATTGAGAGATGCCAAAAGGCATGACACGTGGAATTAAAATAATCTACCCCCGTGCACTAAGTAAAGGGTTCGATTCGACATTCCAGTAAATATCACCTGAAGAAGGCCGAAGCGTACAACCGCCAAAACGTTGTGAATATAGCAGTAAAGATAGTATTTACTTGATTCCCACATAATCAAGATGTGACACAAGGTCGTTTAACGTGGGAGACCCGAGTGTTTCCACTCAAAGGCCACTGGTCAAAATTGGTCATAGCTTGTCCAAGCTGGTCAGAGCCTAGTCAAAGCTGGTCATGACTTGTCCTAACAGGTCCAGGCCGGAGCCAGTCCAAGCTAGTCAAAGCCTTGATCGAATCTCAGCCATAGGCCAAGAAACGATCCATTATTTGTCAAAAACCCCAGCCAAAATGCCGGGTGAGATTATATAGCAGTAAAGATGACGACAACATTCCGAACAATATAATGTAAATAACACCAGAAGACTGCAAAATTTGACTCATTTTGTTAGGCTGAAACAGAACATCATACTAACTGATGATGCTAAGCACACTGTTCTAAGTAAGAATCCAGTCCAACAGCTTTAGATGCTGTTGAACCGTCTCTTTTTTCCAAAAAAAAACTTTTCTCGCAGGCTGGTAAGAGCATTTCCAATGGTTTTTAAGGTTAAAAAAACGCTATGGTTTACCAACAGTGATTGGCAGTTATCATCTTGTATTGCATTGTCCTTTCAAAAAATAGGCACATCATATATAACTTCCAACAAAAAGCCAAGACGGAAAATAATGTATATAAATGATTAAGAATGTAAAAGAAATTAACGATTATTACGTTCAATCCGGTAAAAAAAAATTCAAAGTAGACGCATTACATGAAATAAATAAGTCTTTCCATTCATTTTCAGTAAAGACCTTTGTATTTGCTTACCATATTAACTTTGGCAACGGCATTCTAATAAATCTATGTGAAACTTTTTTCTCAAACAATCGACTTCTCTATGGACAGAAAACTGAATAAAGATTCACCAATCTTTACACCTTCATCAAGTTTACAATAAACATATCTTAAAATTACAGATATTTTTTTCAAAATGGGATTTTTTTAGGTAGTGCAGTCAAATATTACGGAGTAGAATTTGCCCATTTTTAAATCCGAAAGATTTCATTTTCGAGATGAAGCTGATAAATCCAGGCTGAGTATCTTTACGCAATTAATGATTGTTCGTTTTACCAATCTCGGCCCGAATCCGTAATTCGCTGAGGACAAAGTCATATTTGACCATCAATTCTATTAATCCAAGACATTTACCGTTTGACTGAGAACCGAAATTTTCATTTATTCCACGAAAAGGCAAGTAAATTAATTTTATTGTATGGCCAGGCGTTGCCCGTGCTTGATTCAAAAATCGTACGACTCATACAGCAATCGCTATCACTTAACTTAAAATATTTTTGCCCTTCCTTGCCTTTAAAGGAGTGCCCTTTGCCGTGCTGATTTTGCTACATGCCTTACTTCTTGCCTTTCTCACACTGCGAATTTTTTCTAAGCTCTATACTAATCATTAAATCTCTTACAAAAAAAGAACTGAACAAAATGAACACAAAACCATCAGCTTAAAAAAAAAAGGACTCGTAACTGGAAAAACCGAATGAAAAAAGAATGTTAACAACAAATACTTTTTCACACCCTACCCAGTTTTGCGAAATCAGAATCAACGTTGAGTTTAAGGAAGCGAATGAGCCAATTGGTGTAAAGTGCCATGCAGATTTAATTTTTTCCCACTTGTGACGAATGCAGCTATCGATATTTTTGCATGCTAGCATGCTAGTTAACATTCGTGTCAGTCAGCTGTTGGCTCTCACGCTGGCCAATAGAATTTTCCTGCCTATTCGTGGCAGCCAGCTATAGGCTCTCAATCTGGCCAATAAAAAATGGCCGCAAACTACATGAAAACTGCCGTAGAAGCATGAAAAAATCGATTATTTCCACTATCGATGAGAGTTGGGAAATGCAAAGTCGGTCTTGGCCTTCCCACTAACTTGGAGTATGTGCATGTAAATTTTGGTGCAAATCCGTCGAAAATTAATGCCGTGCATTCGTCACACACACACACACACACACACACACACACACACACACACACACACACACACACACACACACACACACACACACATCCTACCTTTTATAGATAGAGATCTATGATCGCTTTGCTTCTCAAACACAATTCAGTTCATCAAAACAAGAAGTCTTGATGGCTTTTGCCATGTTTATGTTCTATCTTTCATCTCTTCGTAACTGGACATTGTTTACATTTCTTTTTACATTACTCTTATTCAACATTGTTGCAATTAAATTGTAAGATCGCAAGTCTTTCTGCAGAAATTGAAATATGTTAACTGTCAATTTAAAACTAAAATTCTGAAAATATTTAATGGAATATTTTTCTCTCTTTTATACTTATACAAATATAAGAAAGAAATAAGAGAAATTGTTTCTTAAGACCAATGTGGACATAAATTTCCGCAATTTTAAAGAGTACCAACATGTAAAACTTCCGTTTTACAATTGAATATCAATTGTTGAAAACAAAATGTAAACGAAACGTAAATCTCGATTAAATTATCTTTTAAAAATATAAAAAAAAATCTTTTTACCATTTACACCTTATAAAAAACATTAGCTTCGGTCGGGTTTCGATTCCATCTTGAATCAATTGGATAACTTAGCCACACTGATGAGCTGTGATACAGCGAAACAATCTGTCTGTGGATGACTCTCTCTCTCTCTCTCTATATATATATATAAAACACACACATATATAAGCACATACACATACAAACAAATACACGTATATACATAGCAGATAGTGTTGAAAAGTTCTCTGCACAACGGACTTATCAAAATATACCTAAATGACCAATGTTTCTGCTTAGGCTTCCTCTTGGGCTGAGAACTTTTCAGTACACTCTAATATATATATATATATATATATATATATATATATATATATATATATATATATATAATATTAGTGGAAAATATACATACATATGCAAAATATATATAAAAAATTTCCATACATGTATATTTTCAGAAAAAAAAAAAAAAAAAAAAATTTCAAGAGGAAGGATCCAGGTAGAACTCAATGTCTAGGACAGAGTAAGGATATAATAAAAAAGGCTTAAACACTAATATTCCATGGTCATAATTTATTCCATTGGAATCGTAAATATATATATATATATATATATATATATATATATATATATATATATATATATATATATATATTAGAGGAACCCTTAGCAGAAACATTGGTCATTTAGGTATATTTTGATAAGTCCGTTGTGCCGATAACTTTTCAACACTATCTGCTACGTATATACGTGTATTTGTTTGTATGTGTATGTGTTTATATATGTGTGTGTTTTATGTGTGAATGTGTGTGTTAGTTAACCAATTGTTTGTTGCTCTCCTTTCATATATTTGCTTGTAGAATCTCATTGTTCTGTTTTGAATCTGACGCCCGTGGACGCTTCAGCACGGAAATTTCGACGTGTCGCTTTGACGTAACCCGATGCCGATTGATAGACGCACAATTCCAAGAGGTCCAGGACAACTCGATATTCTCCTTGCAAAGCGATCATTCACAAATGTAAATACTTTTATCGCATTCTGAATAATTCTGGTGACAGAAAAATAAGAGTGGGAACTTGATTAGATTAGGTCGCCATATTGTCTGCTTTGACGTCATCGGACAAGATGTGCGGACAAATAAATTCGACTCCGTAAAAGACAATTTACATGAAATACTAACAAATTCATTTGGTTTATATATTTCGGTTAGTCTTTATCTATCTATCTATCTATCTATCTATCTATCTATCTATCTATCTATCTATCTATCTATCTATCACAGACTGTTTCTATCTATCTATCTATCTATCTATCTATCTATCTATCTATCTATCTATCTATCTATGACAGTCTGTTTCTTTTCTTTCTATCTATGACAGTCTGTTTCTATCTATCTATCTATCTATCTATCTATCTATCTATCTATCTATCTATCTATCTATTGCTCGGTGTATAGATCAGATATAACAAATTTACTATAGGAGACAAGAAAATTGAACATTTAATACGCTGCGCTAGATGTAGTTTCGCCCAACACCTCACGTTACTACAAAACCAAAGCATTAATGAGTCATGTTTTTAAACAGCCTCGTCACATTGAGGCTTTTTTTATAGAAGTTATGCATGACTTCAAACCCGTTGAGAAATATCTAAACTGTCAGCAGTATACCACCGCTTTCTCAGATCAATAATTAAAAATGGTTTGAACCATTGGATCTTGGTGAGGACTTTTTTTTCTTCGAACCTCATGGACTGGTGCTACAGAATCCCAAACAAAGAACTCCACCAGATAACAGAAACCACATCACTTGAAGACTTTCAGCAATATCAACTAAGATAGATATCACATGTAACTCGAAGAGAAAATAATCATATCATCACGATGTTAATATTCCACATGATTTCAAATAAATGGTTAGGAAGGAAACCTCCATAAATTCCAGAGGGAACGATAACGGAGACATGACTTGATAAACCTATTTTGCTGAAAAATTGTTTTAAGAGAAAGATTTTATGAATTTCAACTGGCTGTTCGATCAATCAATGCCAAATATTTCCTCACAAGCAAACGACTAATATTACCTATACCATCTATCTATCTATCTATCTATCTATCTATCTATCTATCTATCTATCTATCTATCTATCTATCTATCTATCTATCTATCTATGTCCGTTATTTCACTCATTATCAGACCATATCACTCAATCTGCCTTTCTTTCTCTCTATTTTATCTATCTATCTATCTATCTATCTATCTATCTATCTATCTATCTATCTATCTATCTATCTATTTTAATCTTTATCAGACCTTATCACTCAATCTCTCTCTCTCACTCAGACTATTCTTTCTTTCTTTCTTTCTTTCTCTCTTTCTTTCTTTCTTTCTTTCTTTATTTATTTCAATTTATCTTCTAGCTAACGATTGAATTTTTACAAGGCAGATATAAATTCTTTCTATATAAGCGAAATTAATTTAATAATAAAATATACCTATTGCTTATATATGGCAATTTTTAAAATTCAATTTAAAAATAAATAAAATAGAATCAATATTTATTGAAATATGCTTTTAAAAATCATTATGCAAATTAAATAAACTCGCTAATGTAGATACTATTTTTAGAAATATATATGAAAGGCTGTGAACGGGAAATGGGTGTTTTTTAACTGCTGCTCATTCACTACGTTCGTGATCATTGTTTACCTGTCCCTCGTAATGTTGTCTTTTTGATATTGTTCCTAAACCTTGTTCTGCCGGTCGTTTATACATACAAGTTAGAAAGCTCTTTTCACTATCTCAATGCGCCTTCAGTTTTCATTGTTTCACATTTCGTCCTCTGTTAAATTACTTCACTGATATTCGAATTGTTATAATTTGATTTTGATATCTCCAATTTGTAATTTGCATGTTAGGCTTTTCATTTTGCTGACAACCCCACATGTCTTCTTTAATCCTCTCGTCTCTATATGAAAGAAATCGGGGAAAACTTATTGTCTCATAGATCATGGCCATTAAGAAGAAGGATTCACAATATTACTTTTAAAGTGAGCTAGAAAAATTCGAACATATATAATATATCTTATGTATTCACATTATCAGTGTTACGTTCCTACTATAGAGTAATTAGTAACAATTTCGTTTCACAGATGAATTCTATCATAGATCGTGCCAGATTTTCCTTGTTCATATACAATAACCGCAACTTGACACTGGTGTTTGTTTTGGTGCAAATTTCTTATGTGTTCGAGTTTAAAACCTTGCATCCTTCAGTTACGAGTCAGATTCTGTTGAATTTTGAGGTTTTCCCCTCCTACACCAAGGAAAACACTATAATTGTCATCGCGGTGAATAAACCGAATATTTCAAATGAAGAGGTCGCTATCTGAAGAGACTTCGGTTCAAGAAAAATAGCCGATTTTGACAAATCAAAAATGTGTGATTTTCTACCAGGGCAACACAAGACCACATGTTGCAAAACAGTCCTTACAGAAGTTTACAAGTTTGAAACGGGAAGCATTCCAGCACCCACCGCATTCGCCTGACGTGCCCCTTAGGATTTTCATTTGTACTGGTCTCTACTGAACGATTTAAATGACAAGACATGTTACAACATTCTTGCAACAAAAACCACGAACTATTTACAAAAATGGCATCAACAATCTTGTAGAAAAATGGTAGACCTTTCTTAAAAATAATGGAGATTAAGTACTTGACTAATAAATATTGTTTTCGTATGTAAAATTTTGTTTTTGATTTTTTTAATTAGGTGCGAACATTTGCAATGATTTAATAGACTGTAATCACTTCACTCCGTATTCAACGGCAGTAGTCACGTGAGCGTCTAAACCAATCAGAGTGAATGCATATTGATCGTAATTGTAAAGATGATGATATTATATACATTTTTATTTTGTAATAATGAAACATTTACAAATGTCATGACATTAATAGTTCTAATAATCAATTAATATTTTCTTATGTCATATTATGCTCTTATTTTCTAATGAATTACGCTTAATTATCTTGAAGAATATGAACCTTTAAATTTATTTATTTATTAAACACACGATTTAATTCATCGATAAACTTTTGGATAAGAATTATTTCCCTTTAACGCATACGTACGTACTATATAAATGCTTAAGTATTCTTCTTCTGTGTGTCGTGTCCCTTCAGGACGTGGGTGATAATTGCTCTCTACAATTTTCTGTCCTTTGTAAAGAGCTACAAATTTTGTAGCTCTTTACAATTTCATAACTCTTTTAAAATTTAAAGAGCTATAAAATTTCTGTTTTTGTTATCTCTTCTAAACTCTGTTTTGCCAACCATTTAACACAAACTCGTTAAGCAGGTTATGTGCTGCTCTCCTCTATCCCTCTTCAATCTGTCCTGTTTGTGTCAAATTTTCCAAGTCCTCTTTCTTCGTTTTGTGCCCGAGAGGTTTTTCGTTCTGGTTATGCGTATAGGTGTCATTTTTGTTTTTGTTTCCTCTAAAAGCTTATCATTGCTAACATGTTCAGTATTCTCAGCATCCTTCTGTAGAAACCCATTTATGTTGCCTCAAGCCTCTTCATCTGCGATGACATTGTTCAGCATTCACTACCAGTAGGAGTACCAATATTGCATAACAGTACTCCTGTCTTTGTTTCTAACGAAACATACCTGGACGATCCATAGATAAATAAATAGATTAATTATTCGTGGACATAATCTTAACAACATAAGATAGATATACATATATGACACCGCGCTGGTGACACACAGGAGTAACACTGTGTAACAAGATTTTTGTCCTTGGGTTGCAACTATTATTTCCTATTTTCTCGCGCCTAGAGATTATGAAGAATGACTAATATTTCTTTCAGACTTTGCAATTGTGACTAGGATAATGATATTTCTGAAATGAACCTCTTCCATTTAGAAAAACTGGCAACTGTGAACATTCTCGATCACTTAAAGTCGGAAGATGACGACATATGATTCAAAAGTAGCTTTTATTTATTCTAGGAGTACACAAAAGAGACCCCCCCAAAAAAATTTAGAATCTGTAGTTTTTCGCTATTTACGTTTTAATTATACTGTGAATTACTTTCAAGAATGTTCCATCATGTTTTCGTTATACGATCCTTGTTAGCGGCCTTCAAAGGTCAGTATATCCTAGTGGAAGCGCTCGCTTTACTCATCTGAATAGGCTTCCATGTTTTCCTTGAATTTATCAAGAGGAGAATCAAGGATATAGACTTTGAGGGAAATCATGCAGTCCATTTTGCCTTAGTTCCTCACCAGGGTTTGAACAAGCTCCATATAGTTTTCGGCCTGGTGATTCCCCAAGAATCCCCGAACCATAGTGTTTTCTCTGTCTTAGTGAGCTTCTTGGAGAATTCCTTGCACTTCTTTATTTTTGGTCCGATGAAGACGCCGGTTTTAACTTTTGCCGCAGGCAGATTAAGGAAGAAGACATGAAGGTAATATAAGGCTGCTGCCTTCTTATCTAGAGCTGGGACAAATTGTTTATAAGGTCCAATTTTAAGTGAAGTAGAAGAAACAATACTTTCTGGGGTTCCAGCAGTAGTTCCCATTTGACGTTGTTCCTTCGCACACTAAACTCGGTCTCTTGTTGCCAGTCCCGCTTTTAGTTGTGTGCTGTGATGTCCCTGCTGTTACAAATCAAAGATAACCCGGAAACGTTGGCAAAGCCGCCGTGGAGACCCATTAGGAAGGTCAGCATTTTGAAATCTCTGATAAACTCCCAACAGTACTCTTTCTATTTCAAGGTATCTAGCAAGATCTTGACATTGATTCATGGAGATCTTGGAAAACTTGACCCTCACGGGACATATTGAAAAGAGGGATAGGGGAAGGCGAGATGGAGGGCTTGGAAAACTTGACCCTCACGTGGTATATTAAGAAGAAGAGACATAGAGGAAGGTGGGATGGAGGTCTTGGAAAACTCGACCCTCACGGGACCTATTGAAGACAAGAGAGATAGAGGAAGGCGGGATGGAGGGCTTGGAAAACTTGACCCTCACGTGGCATATTAAGAAGAAGAACTGCACCGAGTGAGCTAGGGGAAGAGATGGATACAGAGCAGGACAGCTTTGGGGCTCCTGGATGATCAAAACTTTACATGTTACATTCCAATTTTTTTTTGCAGAGTTCACAGGTGAAATGGGGTGCCTAATACTTTGTCGTGATCCCCGACAGGTATGCCAAAATATGCCTTGTATGCCTTAAGTATTTTAGTAGATGTTGCCAGAGAGTACTTTCTCGCGCTTAGTCTTGATAAATTCGTCACATACATATAGCGAAATGCGTCAGCCGGATGCTTATAGCCTCTTAATGCCATGTTAATGACGAATGCATCTGTTAACGACGAATTGTCTGCACTTGGACAGCTAGAAGTAAACTGAACTGTTGATCTTACGTTTTCTGTATTTATACTACCATCTATGTTACCAGAACTTTATAGAAAGTCTTGAAACATTTAGAAATTTCTTTAAAGTTCTTGAAAATTCTAGAAAGTTCTATAAAATTATCTTTCATCAACTCAGCACCGGATCTGTATGGAATGTAATGGAAAATAGGTTATTTTCTAAACATCGATGTCCAGGTCATAAAAGCAAAGTTTGAAGGGAATAATAGTCATTTCCTTTGCTCTTCTAGACAGATGCTATTAGGGAACAATACTTAGTAACCAAAGACACAAAAACGTCGGAATTTTGTTACACAGAACAACGAACAATAGAAATATAGTCTTAAAGAATGTGAATTAAAAAAATACAATGGCTCGAACTAATGAAAGAGAATGCAAACTAAAACAGAATAAAAAAAGTCATAAGTTGAGTGAAGGAAGCTTCCGAATTGTGTTTTATTTTTTTATTTTATCCAGTATTCTCCTGGCGTCAATTTAAACTGACAATTTCTTTATATATATATATATATATGAACGCACAACTTTTAAAAATTTAAAATCAAACTCAGCGTTGCTACTGCGCGCTCCAAAAACAATAACTCATTTCCAATAGCATTTTCGGATACAACAATACATATATTTTCGTTGTCCTCTTATTACTAAGAGAAAAAACAAGAACAACATCTATTCTATACCTGAAGATGTCTGTAGGAACAGACGAAAGCTTGTAGTAAAAATAAGAACTAATACGGCAGGAATTTATAGAAACAAGGATCATTTCATTCATAACGGATTCGGAGGTTTTTGTATATTATTTGAATTGTTTGCGACGATGGATTTCTCGCCAATTAAATCATTAACCTCTGCATTTGTTTTGTGTGAATAATTCATGAATATATATATATATATATATATATATAACTTTCATAATCCATAGCCCAAATAAATAGTTTAAATACCCTACAAAAAAGATAACCCTTTATGAAGTCGTCAAAAAACAAA